TCCCCCCCCCCACCTACAACCCCTGCCAGTACGAGACTCGAACCCGCAACCTTTGGGTTACGAGTCCAACTCTCTAACCATTAGGCCACGACTTCCCGTCTGTTGTTGTTGAGTGTGCACGCTCACAGATTGAATTCTTTGTGCTCGTGACTTCCCTCATCATAAACAACACTGCAGATACAATGTAAATAAAAGATTCATTTCGTAGCTTCAGTGATTATAACAGGAGTTTTTGCATAACTTGAGCTAGACTAGACTAACGTCATGGACCGACATGTTTGTCTGTGAAGCCAAAGCCAGAATATATGATGAGCCGTTCCCCTAAAACACAAACACAAAAAAGTTTGTATTCTATTAAATCGAAATTAATAATAATTATTACAATATCAAGAGCAATAATCGACAATAACAATTTCTGTCATAAAATTAGCTCCCGTTTTTAAATCTATAATTTAGATACAATTATAAAGTCAAGTGTTATCGGCAAGTTTAAAATATTTTGATTGAATGAAGTAATTGGTTAAATGTAAGTATTTGACATTAAAGACAACACGGATACAATTATTAAGGTGTTCATGTTCAGTTCATTGCTTGCAAATTATTTGCAATATTTTATTGCAAATTACTGACTTTTGTCCACGTGAATAATTACTTGAAAAAAATCTTCTCAGCTAATAACATATTTTCCTTAAATGTATTAATAATTGTTTAACATCTTTAATAAAGGTTTTCATCAGTGATCTAGTTTTGCTTTGGTATTAAAATTGGCTTGAGAATCATAAAATTTAATTGTACTGGTATTTTGACAACGATAATCAGCAACTGACATATAGAAGACCAACCAACAAAGTTCAATATTTTCAAAAAATCCTGCGAATAGTTTTAGGTGGTTTGTGTGCATTTGCCATACCGAGTGTTAGCAGCTGATCTATGGCTGTGATGACTCTCTCGCACTCGTCATCTCGTGTGTGCAGCCCCCACTCTCCCTCCTGAGGGGTGTACAGCAGGGCCTGAAGCTCGTCCTCTGTGACCGGGACACTGCCCCCATGTTCCTCTGGAAGTGGAGCTGTAGATGGTCAATCACACCATTAGATATGCCCGAATGTGACTGGATGATTTAGTGTCCGATTTTAAGTGTGTCAGTACCTTCTTCAGGTATGGGCTCTATATCCCATGGACTCATTTTCTCTCTCTCTCCATTATCCCACCTGCAAAACAACACACCAATTATTAAAAAGATTTACGGCAATAATAAGCCCAAGGTTTAACTCTGTACTCTTGTAGAGCAGTGATCAAATCTACGTACCTGACAATGTAGCACTGAAAGAGGCTGTCTGGATAGTCAGATTGAAATGGCTCCTGACACTCCACCGAACCAAACCACCAAGCATCATCAATGATGCTCCTGAAATGCTGACCTACATACAGATATTCACAGCTGTTATTTGCTACTTATATGCTATTTTATGATCATAATAAACATATTCGTCTTTACCACCACAGCATTAATAGATCAATAATCTATGCCATGCAGCCACTAATCCTGCAAGCATTATAGCATGTTTCTATGCAGTTAATAATGTGTTATGGATGGTTGTTTACTTGCTCAAATCAAAAGAACCCAATCAACCATTTTTTGGTATGGCTCAGGCCCATCTTTCAATGTAAATCTATGGGATTTTTTTCTCTCACTTCCTTATCCACCAAGTAATGATGCTCAATCACTTAAAAAAGTGACAACCTGCCTTTCCCCAACAAGCCACATGATTTGAGGCATCATTTACAGCCTTTGAGCAAACCTCTACCCAAGTTTGTTTGCACTAAGATATCAGTGGCTCTTGCATATACCACAGTTTAAAGCACAAACACACCAGGCTGCCAGTTGCGTTCTTTGGCCTCATTGTAAAACTGTTGTAGCACCAGAAAGTCAATGCCGGGGAGCAGTTGGGGGTTCGGTGCCTTGCTCAAGGGCACCTCAGTCGTGGTATTGAAGGTGGGAGAGAGCGCTGTATATTCACTCCCCCCACCTACAATCCCTGCCGGTACGAGACTCGAACCCGCAACCTTTGGGTTACGAGTCCAACTCTCTAACCATTAGGCCACGACTTCCCGTCTGTTGTTGTTGAGTGTGCACGCTCACAGATTGAATTCTTTGTGATCGCGACTTCCCTCATCATAAACAACACTGCAGATACGATGTAAATAAAAGATTCATTTCGTAGCTTCAGTGATTATAACAGGAGTTTTTGCATAACTTGAGCTAGACTAGACTAACGTCATGGACCGACATGTTTGTCTGTGAAGCCAAAGCCAGAATATATGATGAGCCGTTCCCCTAAAACACAAACACAAAAAAGTTTGTATTCTATTAAATCGAAATTAATAATAATTATTACAATATCAAGAGCAATAATCGACAATAACAATTTCGGTCATAAAATTAGCTCCCGTTTTTTAAATCTATAATTTAGATACAATTATAAAGTCAAGTGTTATCGGCAAGTTTAAAATATTTTGATTGAATGAAGTAATTGGTTAAATGTAAGTATTTGACATTAAAGACAACACGGATACAATTATTAAGGTGTTCATGTTCAGTTCATTGCTTGCAAATTATTTGCAATATTTTATTGCAAATTACTGACTTTTGTCCACGTGAATAATTACTTGAAAAAAATCTTCTCAGCTAATAACATATTTTCCTTAAATGTATTAATAATTGTTTAACATCTTTAATAAAGGCTTTCATCAGTGATCTAGTTTTGCTTTGGTATTAAAATTGGCTTGAGAATCATAAAATTTCATTGTACTGGTATTTTGACAACGCTAATCAGCAACTGACATATAGAAGACCAACCAACAAAGTTCAATATTTTCAAAAAATCCTGCGAATAGTTTTAGGTGGTTTGTGTGCATTTGCCATACCGAGTGTTAGCAGCTGATCTATGGCTGTGATGACTCTCTCGCACTCGTCATCTCGTGTGTGCAGCCCCCACTCTCCCTCCTGAGGGGTGTACAGCAGGGCCTGAAGCTCGTCCTCTGTGACCGGGACACTGCCCCCATGTTCCTCTGGAAGTGGAGCTGTAGATGGTCAATCACACCATTAGATATGCCCGAATGTGACTGGCTGATTTAGTGTCCGATTTTAAGTGTGTCAGTACCTTCTTCAGGTATGGGCTCTATATCCCATGGACTCATTTTCTCTCTCTCTCCATTATCCCACCTGCAAAACAACACACCAATTATTAAAAAGATTTACGGCAATAATAAGCCCAAGGTTTAACTCTGTACTCTTGTAGAGCAGTGATCAAATCTACGTACCTGACAATGTAGCACTGAAAGAGGCTGTCTGGATAGTCAGATTGAAATGGCTCCTGACACTCCACCGAACCAAACCACCAAGCATCATCAATGATGCTCCTGAAATGCTGACCTACATACAGATATTCACAGCTGTTATTTGCTACTTATATGCTATTTTATGATCATAATAAACATATTCGTCTTTACCACCACAGCATTAATAGATCAATAATCTATGCCATGCAGCCACTAATCCTGCAAGCATTATAGCATGTTTCTATGCAGTTAATAATGTGTTATGGATGGTTGTTTACTTGCTCAAATCAAAAGAACCCAATCAACCATTTTTTGGTATGGCTCAGGCCCATCTTTCAATGTAAATCTATGGGATTTTTTTCTCTCACTTCCTTATCCACCAAGTAATGATGCTCAATCACTTAAAAAAGTGACAACCTGCCTTTCCCCAACAAGCCACATGATTTGAGGCATCATTTACAGCCTTTGAGCAAACCTCTACCCAAGTTTGTTTGCACTAAGATATCAGTGGCTCTTGCATATACCACAGTTTAAAGCACAAACACACCAGGCTGCCAGTTGCGTTCTTTGGCCTCATTGTAAAACTGTTGTAGCACCAGAAAGTCAATGACATCAGGCATATCATGATACCTAAAGAGAGACACAGAGACAGCTATCATTAAACATATATTCATGATCAAAAACTATCCTAATATTTATTTTAAATGCATTCATCAGAATTTAGTATTTATCGTAATTTATTATGCTATTCCAATACCAATAGTAAATAAATAAAAATATAAGACAATGTGCTTGTGTGTTTTTGAGAGTATAAGTGTACATACTTCAAGCTGAAGGATTCGTTGGTCATTTTCCCTGAGGTGGGGTCCAGTAGAGCCAGTTTGAGGCAGCACAGAGTGGGCGGCCCGACTTCATATTTAATACCCACTACCTTTACAGACTCCTGATCCTAAGAGAACACACAGACAACATACTTTCAAGTTCCTGTTGGTCTGGATGCAGAATGGGCCAACCACTGTCATGCAAACTAAATTATGCCTAATAACGAGTGGGAATGGTGATGAGACAGGAAATAAGCCCCTTACCCTGAGGTTCAGGCGGTTCCAGGGCTGTTTCTGAGGGTTGATGCTGTAGGCTTTGGCACGACACACGGCTCGGACGTATGCTTGATGACCCTGACGGAAATATATTAGCTACAGAAGAACAAAGAAAGAGAAATGGCTTAAGAAAGATGTGCATATATGATGAAAATCCTTGTATGTACTTCTGGTCATTTAGTGTGTGCCTACATTTAATGAAGGGACTCACCTCATCTCCCATTTGAGGTACAAAGGGTGATCGTCTTGGAATTGTCTCCATGATCCAAGATGGGGGCAACCATTCCTCTAAATCGCCAGCAGGCACAGACTAAATACACACACACACATTAGCATAGAAGAGAAAATATGGATGGATGGATGGATGAATGATAGATGTATGCTAACCCGCTGTTTAGTCTGTTTAGGTTTCTTTTTCTTTTCAGTGCGTTTACTCGTTCTCTCAGCCTCTCCCTGCCCTGTCCCCTCCTCGTCCTCAGAGCTACTGCTCCCAACAACACGAGCCGGCAGCCTTCTAGTTGTTCGCTTCGGAGGCTGGAGGTTGATTCCCGCATCCGCTGTCCAATCAGAATACTCGCTAGAAGAGTCACTGTAAAATATATATAAACAGGAAACGGAAAACCCCCCAGAAAATTCTTAAAACTTCTCTCAACATTCTGAAAGACTACTAAAAACTAAAATAGAAATGATTAATTAAAAATGGATAAACAAAATTACAATAGTACTATCTATAATTTAATCTCTAATATTGGTCTAAATAAAATTTGTTGTTACACCTGTCTAATTCTATATGGAGTCAAGACTAAAAGCTGCAAAAGAATTAAAGCTTCATTTAAACAATTTTAAGCTAGTTCTAGACCAAAATCAGAATGCTTCATCTGCATTATTGATGTTCTTTTATGTTGTAAAATATTGTGATTGGGACTGAACCTGGAGCTACTGTCATTCTCCCACTGAGCTTCACCATCAGAGGACACGTCACTGTTCTCAATCTGCTCCTCCTCCTGCTGGGTGCACACATTCAGAAACATCAAAATTAGCAAATATATATATATATATGGTAAAAAAAAAAAAAACAATTCACTAAAATAATTCGCCAACACTGCCTTCTTACCTCCACTTCACTGTCGGACTCTGCCACACTTTCCTCGTTATGGGTGTACGAGAGCACACTTGTGCTGCGTCTCCTTTCTCGAGTCGAGCGGGTCTGATATGCGTGTCTCCTCTGCTGAGGTCTGCGCTGAGGCCTCCGTAACATGCGAACGCTCTCTCCCACCGGCTCACTCTACATATAAAGAGGGAGAAAAACGAGGTTTAGGTTTATACTGCAGTTCGGCACTGACTTTATAGGTCTTCATGTCTATAAAACTCACTCCTGTTGTGGGTGCAGATTTCTTCTTCTTCTCAATGTTGTAGAAAGACCTTTCTACCTCTCCTTTAGCACGCCTACTGTCTTCCATCACTCTAAACATGCACAAATACATCACATCAGTGAGAAGGCAGTGTTGGGTGTTAAAACTCTCAAAGCTATTCACACAAGGTCAGTTTAGAGTAGTTAAAGGAAACAATGGACATTTAAAAGGGGAATTTCTAGTGAATCATTTCAATAAACGCCTTAGACAACAACAACCTATTATTGTGGAAAAATTATTTTTTCAGTAAATCATGGAAAACTGGAGAAGTATTGTATATGGAGAATATTGCTGTGGACAATGGGGGGCCTTGGTGTCAGAAAGGTTGAGAACCACTGCTTTAGACCACGGTGAGCTATTTTGTCACTAAAGGCATTTAAGAATAAATTTCTGTTTTTTGGTAGCATTGTTGCTCTACCAGTTGTTACTTCTGTTTGATTTGAAAGCTGTTAAATTGTCATACTTGTACCTGAATATGCCAGACTGGACTCTATAAAACTCACTCCTGTTGTGGGTGCAGATTTCTTCTTCTTCTCAATGTTGTAGAAAGACCTTTCTACCTCTCCTTTAGCACGCCTACTGTCTTCCATCACTCTAAACATGCACAAATACATCACATCAGTGAGAAGGCAGTGTTGGGTGTTAAAACTCTCAAAGCTATTCACACAAGGTCAGTTTAGAGTAGTTAAAGGAAACAATGGACATTTAAAAGGGGAATTTCTAGTGAATCATTTCAATAAACGCCTTAGACAACAACAACCTATTATTGTGGAATGAGATTCGTGATTGATTTAGTCATGTTAACAAAAAAAAGTTAAATAAAAAACTGGCATATTTAAAAATTCACTTTGTGTTTTTATTATGTGCAACAGCTCTATGTAAAATACAAGAGATTTTATTGGCAAACTGTTTTTCAAAGTAATATATATATTAATTTTGTTTTTTATAGATTAAGTTTAGGTTTACATTAGTTCCACATAATATATATATATTATGTGGTGTAGCTGATGGGGTGGTGTAGCCATTGTGGTGAGTATTGCCATCATGCTCACCATTGGTCTTATATATTTTTTTTAAATACAGAAGCTTAAATACTTTAGACAAGTGTTTCCCAACTATGCCAGACTGGACTTCATTAACCACCACGCGGCGGCTCCATGCCAGCAGGTCTCTCTCAGTGGCGATCTGACTGCGGGGGGCATTATTGTGCATCTGCCGTACACCCTCAACTTGTCCGCTACGTCGCAGCCCAACGTTAGGGGGTGACAGAGGACCACCTGCCACCTCAGCACCTACTGATCAACAGCTTTAAATGTCACAACCTCTAAACTATCAGCTTTTATATAAGTGACCTTTAAGCCAACTAATGTCTTAAATGCAAAATAATTTTAATGCAATAAAGAGAAAAAATAGATTATACCGTCTGCATTTTGCCCTTTCAATGTGTAATAATTGTACCATAAGAAAACAATGCTCCAGCACATCATTGAAATTTCTATAAAACATTTTAAAAGGTTAACTGTGGGTTGTTCTCACCTGTAGGATTTCCTGAGTGGAGTCGCTCATCTTGCTGGTGCTGGAGCTGCCTAATCAGGTCATCCAATGGGCTTTCTTCCTGAGACTCCTCTGCAGTCTGCTGGCCAATCACCTGCTCAACCACTTCACCATCACCTAAAAAAAAAAACATTAAATGACTTTCTTAAACTAATTTAAAATAAAGCCTAAACTAGTTCTCTAATAAAAGGACGACTACATATGACATGACTATTAGCACAGGGAGCTTTTCATTTAATATGATTAACATTAGCCATGCAATGTGTGCAGGACACTACTGAGGTCGTCACATTCATAGTATTCAACAGGAAGTAAATTTATGCCCAAGAGATTGTCCTGTTGAGCAGTCAGACAAATGACAAGCAGTAACATTTCTAGTGCTGTTGCTAGTCAAAATGAAAAGTACCAGAAGGACAGATATAAGTATTTTGGGTTGAAGACTACATGTCATCATTTTTATTTAAAAATAAAATGTAATTTTTCCCCCCAAATTTATCAAATTTTTTTTTAATGAAGTAAAAATGCGTTTTCACTCTACCATTGACATTGGTAACAAGAATGACATTTCATTGGTATAGACAACTGAAATTGTGTTGCACAGTAGCTACAGAATGAACAAGGCAGAATATTTTCAAAATTTCTACTACAGAAATGATTTATTAATTTGACTATAATTAGTTGTATAAAATTATATGATCATTATAAATAAAACAGGCAATCTATATAAAAATAATAATAATAACTATTACTACAGCAATAAGATGCATGTTAATCATGCAGTAAAGCTTTGAGTCTTTTGTTATTCACCATTTAAACTTAACTAAATTTACCATTAGCCATGTAGCCGAGCTGTGGCACAAGCTGCTCCTCTTTGCAGTTTTCTCTGCCTGGCACCAGGCGCTGGCAACGAGGTGGGTGGGGGTTCCCATCCACATCCACCAGAAAAGGTGGAGGCATAAGATGGGGTGCCTGCTGCGTCTGCTCATCTAGAACAAAGTTATTGGAGTCCCGGATCAGCGGCCGGAAATCCGTATGGAAGAACATTTGGTCTGGAATCTGAAAGCAGAGTGAAGCGTTGGAATGCGAGTGGTTTCAATCAACTGCACAAAAAGCTCAGAATTCCACATATCTGGGACACAAACGTACCTTTTCATAAGGCTGACTGCACCCAAATCCGAAGATGAGCAGATGACCATGAGAGTCTGTGCAGGCAAAGTGCTGCCCATCCACAGAAAATTTACAGTCAAACACAGCACCATGACCCTGGCCTTCAATCTAACACAGAAAAATAGAGAAAGAGAAAACAATTACATTTCTGTGATGAGCAGCATTTCTATCAACATCTAGACACTACCGTTTAATAATTTGGGGTTGGTAAAATTATTTACTGTTTTTGAATGAGGTCTTTTATGCTCACCAAGGCTGCATTTATTTGATCAAAAATGAAGTAAAAAATATAACAATATTGTTAAATATCATTATAGTTTAAAATAATGATTTTAATATAAATTAAAATGCAATTTATTCCTGTGATGACAATGATGAATTTTCATCAGCCATTACTCAAGTCCTCAGTGTCAAATGATTCTTTCTTATTACAGTTGAAAACAGTCGTGCTGCTTCATATTTCTATGAAAACTGATAAATTTTTTTTTAGGATTCTTCGATTAAAAGAATGTTTAAAAACAGCATTAATTTGAAATATAAGTCTTTTTTGGAACATTATCAACATCTTTTGCCACTTTTGATCGAATTAATACATCCTAAGTTGCTGAAGTATTAATTTCTTCTCTACTTGTTACCCCAAACTTTTGAAGAGTAGTTTCTTATCTTTTATGTCAACTACTTTTAAAATTGGTGAACTTTTTAGAATTGAAACGTCATCTCACCATATTGAAGAAGTTTCTGATCTTGAGGCCTTTACTGAGGTCCCAGATGTAGATGTTACCATCATGACCAGCTGATAACAAGATTCGTGAGTCAAAGGGGTGTGCTTCCAAAACAAACACCTCATCATCATGACCCTACGAACAGAGGAACATTTGCATAAATGATCCATACATAATGGGCAATAAATCATAGGAAGCGCCTCTTTAGAATTACAAAAACAGGAACCCAAAGGAACAGACTGAATTCTGCCTCACATGCATGCACACATACCGACAGCACATGTAGTAATTGGCCATTTGCTGAGTTCCAGACTTTGAGGAGGCAGTTTGAAACAGCTGTGATGATGGAGCGATCGTAACGATCCCACGCGACCATGGTCACCACCAACTTGGTCGATTTGTCATCGCCTGATATCACAGCACTCCTGTGAACACAATACATATGTCCACACAGATGTAAAAAATACACATAACGGAAGAACCAAATAGATTTATTTTTCAAAAGAACAACATTTAATGTTAATGTAATTAGATTTGGTCCCAACTGTGCTTCAGAAACCCTGGCTGTTCCCACAGTTAACAGATATATGTACACATACTGACCCTGGTAATCTGGCGCTCATGTCCAGCACGGTACTCTTCCATTCGTGCTGTTGGTAATGCCAAATCCGAGCCGTACCATCCCGACTACCACTCACAAACCTGAGACTGGATACAGAGGCAGCCAAAACACAAACACAGAGTTAAAAACACCCAGAGTAAAGACAAAAGGTACATCCCAATGAACAAACACAAAAGGAAGCACATAGTGAACGCTGATAATAAACTCACCTGTCGGTGTTATTGCAAAACTGAATAGCTACAACTTTATCCTGTAAAACAAAAACATTGTTGTACTTCTAAGTCAGCACAATATACAGTTATGACATTCAAACTTTAATTTTTAACATGTTCCTCATTTTCCAGTCTACAATCAGGGTATATACAGGAATCATGGAGTTAAATTTAATACCTTTTTAAGACTCTTTCCATACATTTTAAGACCTCATCGCCACTCCAAGTTTTAACCGGTTACATCGGCGACACTTTAACTTACATTTACTATATATTGATTGTAAGATAGCACAACTAAACAGACTTACTTTGTGATAACTCCTTATAAATACAACATAATTCAGAAGGGGGAGAACGAAGCACAAGAGAATTAATTGAGTGACTAACCAATGCAACCCAA